TCTGATCATAGACGCCTAGTAGGGCGTTTATTCTCAACTTACGTTAGGACAGTCTTATAGGAACACATCAGGAGATCGCATCGTCTTGCGCGCTTCGGCATCATTGTGCTTACTTAAATCCAACAAATTTTGTTCAACTTTGGCATACAATCCCTGAAAAGCCCTATATCGCTTACATAAGTTCGTCAATAATAGTGAACTCGCGGAGTTTACCAAATGTAAGCTGCTGATAAAAAAGATTACGATTGTGGTGAGCCTATCACGGGATTCAGCTTTTGTTTTTCCAAGCCCTCAAGTGCCACTGAAATGTATTTGTTTCCACTTTTGACTTAATTTTATTGCTTGTTTCCGGCTTTTCCGTGGGAGTGTTAGTCTTTAATTACATGAGGAGGCGCTGGTACAGGGCAGTGAATTCTGTGACTGGAAACATTTTTTGGATAGAAAGAAAGCATTATTTCTATCCATCTGCCTAAGAAGATAACGGCTTTTTCAACTTTTGAAAATCATCTCAGAGGAAGCAGCTAACGCTCCGTGGATATGGTTTCGAATTTCGAGGGTGATATAAAAGCAAACTCGTTTCCGGATATCCGTCAACACATCTCATATTATCCAAACATGAACCTGAAGAGGCCTCACTGTCTGTTAAGAATAGCCTAAGAACATAATTAATTACGAACTATGACGTGTATTGAAAAGCATTCACCGTGGCCTGCATTTCCACACCCAGGATATTTCCTCCTTTTGTTTGGTATGTTCACGAAAGAGTTTCCCTGGAATATTCTTCAGGTGCTCTAATGACCTTAATCTTTACTAATTTTACTTCTAAGGTCTTGGCTAGCGAACATGCAGAAGTTCAGTACTAATGCATTTAATCGGTTTTTCCTCAAAGTGCAAACGCAGATCTCACGATTTTTGAGGACCATACCTACCAACCCTGAATAAATTTTCCATTGTCACAGACACACAAAAGTTTCCGGAATTATTTTAAAATCGCTGGCCGAATTTATCTCAGTGTATTCAGTCAGGATAGAAGAAGGCTCCACTGCTGTCCCTTAGTAATGCACACCTGGGAGGTACAAACATACCGCGGACAGATTCCCCTCTGTTCACTCATGTGAAGTAGGCATGGGACCCTCGAAAATGTAGGGGACTTTTAAATGGTCTCCGTCCAACGTGTTCGTTGTTAAATTGGTTTAAGTGTGCCGGCCTAAGGGCGTTTGGGGTCAGGACTCACTCAGGGCGTATACGCTGTAACCCATGTTTCCGTCCGCATAAGCGAGAGGGCACTGCCCCTTCTAGGGTGTCCGTCCCCCGAAGGCCAGAAGTAATTAATGATAAACCTCTGCCTACTGAAAACCATTAAGTAAACCGAAAAATGTACAGTAAATAGTTGGTAATGTAATCTATAGGTGTCATGGTCAGTGGTTCGCCGCAGAGTTAACAGTTGGAAACCGGACAGAAATGCTTCCGACATGCCCCCATGTGCCATCTATGGTCTGGGAATTCGCTTTAGCATTGGTAAGGGGTGCCATCAAATCTTGACGCGATGGGGCTCATTTGACGCCGCACTCTCACAGTCTCTGATGATGGCCTCCTGTACGAGACCGAAAGCTCAGACTAGCACACGTACTGTCCCAGTGATCGCGCGTTCTTCTTTGATAGGGCTTGGTTCAAGATGCGAAATTTTCTCCCCCCAGACGAGTCTAGCGGAATACGGATACAGAAATCAACCGGACTAGAGGAAAGGTCAAATATTGGCTTTTGTTTGGACAGAACATGCCTAATAAAATAAAGCACTGACGGCCTAGAGTGTGCACTACGCAATGTCCTCGGTCGATTATAATTCCTCATCCTTCACTTTTCCATTGCTTTGTCCCACATCGAAATGCAGACGAAAAATGAACGGACCTCTCTGTTCGTTAGTGTCTTATTACAGTCTGCGCAAAGGCTGACGCTTCATCTGCATGCATTTTTCAATCAATCTTAATAACTCAGGAGTAATTTGGCTCCGCCAATCACACTCTCCATTTGCCCTTATCAGCAAATCTTTTTTTCAAATTATGTGGCAGCTTTTTCTGCACCGAAAGACTGCGACAAATCTCCTCTTTTGTTTCCATCTTCACGCTAACCTCATGTTGTGAGAGGCTGGTAACTAATTGATATTCGTGGTCGATCTGCTCAACGGTAGGGTGATCATTACCACTTTGGTTTGAGTCACTGACTTAGAAAGCGTTATCAGAGCCGTAAGAAACTCTTTGAAATGGTGCAAGCCTCAGGATCGCTATTTGCATATGCCTTGCAAAATAAGCAAGAAACAAGATCTTTGATAATTGATCAGACATAAATGATTCCATGAACATGCAGGAATTGAGGTGTGGCGATTTACTCAAAGGGAAACTTGACCAGTAAAAGCTTCGGCTATATCTTATTTCGTAGCCGTACCTGTTAGGGGTTAGGATAAGGGGTTAGGGGTTGGGTTAGGGTTGGGGGTCGGGGTTAGGAGTTAAGGTTAGTGGCTGGGGTTGGGGTTAGGCGGTTAAGGGTTGGGGCAAAAGGTTAGGGCTAGGGGTTAGGCCGGATCTTGTCTACTGCAGGTACGGCTAGGAAATGAGATCCGACCAAAGCTTCTGCTATTTTAGTACATTCTATGCGGCAGTGAACATGTTGCACATGAGGATGATCGTCAGTCCATGGATTGGGGATGCACTAAATGAAAGCAACATTTTGAGGGGTGAAGACCGTGTAGTTCAATTCACTTTGTCTACTTTATCCTCAAATCTATAGTCTTTTTCCTAGCTTGTATTTGAAAATATGCTGAAAAACTGAGGCATAATAACTTTGAGACTACGCTGATGTCCATTAGCTGAAACTCTTGGGATTTCACCGCGTTCGGGATGGAAGTTTGGATGAAACTCCAAACCGCGTGGGTTGGCGTTCACTTATTAATTCCTACTTAGAAAAAGGAACAATGGCGATCCGTTTTTGTCTTAGAGTTCATGGTGGTAGACGGCAAGTACTAGATAAGCATAACTGCTAGATAGGAAAGAGCCTTCAAGAGCAACTTCTCGGGATTTGGACCTGACTGATTAGCTATAGTAAATTGGCCAGAAATAGTCATTCCAATCTTCATCTACCTGCCAATGGACACTGCTTATTGGTAATGTAATTGGTCAGGAGTAAGAAGCGAAATCCTCACTAGAATCAACCTCGTCAACTTCATTCAAAGCTTCCGAGTTTAGGCTGGCAGTGGCTTTCACTCTCTTCCTCGAAACGCTGCAGCTCCTAGAGCGCCTCTTCGTACCGGTTACGGTGTTGTCTATGCTGACGTTGGTTGTTTTTTGCATCTTTCCGTTGTGGATGTCGGCGTGGAGTTCGGCACTCGAACCCTGCAGACTGCATCTGTCTGTTTGTGTGTTCCACTATAACAAATTTTAAGAATTTTATTCAGAAGCAGATTAGGGTGTCAGTGTTCATCGTATGACGCATGCATGATAATTCTATGATAATTAAGGTTACATTATTAGGGGTACCTGGGAACAATGTCATTTTTGTGATCTTAGTTGGGATGTTATTTATGAAATGTTTATGGAACACATGCCTGAATCAATCGGTAAGGTCTTCTTAGGAATTTGTTATGTAAATTTTTTTTAGATTTGGCCATAAAAATAGGCAACATGAAGACCGAAGACAGTCATACTCCTCATGGAATGCCGTATGTATTTCGCAAGGAAGACAACGTAACAGCAGTCACAAAAACAATTAGGGTTATCTGTTTGACGGCCTTAGATATCCGCAAGCGCCATCTTCGATTTGCAAAATTTCAATGGAATGATTTCGAACTCTCCAATACCCATCGTCCGGGGAGACCAGTGTAGCGGGATACTGACATTTGCACGCAACCACTGGGATGGATCCACGTCAGACCACGGGGATCATCCGAAAAACTAAATTCGTCATGATCTGCTTCTGTCCAGGAGCAGCTTGAAGAGGATCGTAAGCAAGAAGTTTAGGAGCCCGTCAACTTTTGATAGAAAATAATGCTCAGCTTTCAACAACCTGTAACTTTTTGTTATGCAAACAAGAGAGGGGACCGTTAGGGAGAGCACTGCTCACCCCTGCGAGGGAGAAGGGGCTATAAAAGGTGCCCTAAACAAATGCTGGGGACCCACGCCGTCCGCAGGCTGACCGTGGCCTCAGACGCAAAACTCGCGCTCGAAACAACCAAACAAGAAACAGCACACTCTTTCTTCTCCCTCCACCTACCCGCTGCCCAGCTCGCCAGACTGGGTAGAGGGAGTCTGCTCACTCTGGGAGCCTGGAATGTTCGTTCTCTTTTACACAATCTGAGGAGCAATCGACCGGAATGAAGAACGGCGCTAGTGGCTCGGGAACTGGAATGCTACAAGGTGAACATCGCTGCACTCAGTGAGACCCCGTTATCCGTACAAAGGCAACTGGAGGGGGTGGGTGCCGGCTACACCTTCTTCTGGAGCGGTCGCCCCAGGGCAGAGCCATGGGACGCAGGCGTTGCCTTTGCCATCCGGAATGATATCCTGGGGCGACTGCCCTGTCTGCCGCAAGGCACCAAGGAACGCCTGATGAGCTTCCGCCTGCCTCTCCGGGGAGGCAAAGTCGCCACCATCCTCAGCGTCTACGCTCCGCCGATGACCAGCGCCGATGAGGCGAGGAACAAATCCTACGAGGACCTGCACGCCCTCCTGCGACTGTGCCGAAGGCGGACAAGTTGATTATCCTTGTTGACTCAACGCCCGCGTTGGCACAGATCATGCTGCCTGGAGAGGAGTGCTGGGTCTCCATGGTCCCCATGGCTTCAGCGTCAATGGTCTGTTCCTTCAACGAACCTGCGCAGAGCACCGGCTCATCCTGATCAACATTTTCTTCTACCTCCTGATGCGAGAGAAAGTCCCTGGAGGTATGTTCCGTCGCTAAACTGGCATCTGCCGGAATTTGTCCTCGGCCGGAGGCGAGACCGGCGGGACATGCTGATGACAAAAACGATCCCGGACGCCGACGGTTGGACCGACCATCGCCTCGTCATCTCCGAGGTGCGGATTCATCTACAGTCTCGCAGGAGACCTCCGGGTAAGTGACCTCCAGGTAAGCTGAATATTGCTTTGTTATCTGCCTGCTAACCGTCTCCGTTTCGGCAACGAGCAAAATTAACGGTTAACCAACCTTCCAGTCTCCGCCGCCCGTCTGCCTCAACTGGAGACCAACGTCGACCTCGACCTCCTGCCATCCCTGCACGAAACCATCAAGTCCGTGCAACAAGTCTCCAGCGGGAAAGCGCCCGGATCGGACGCGATCCCTGCTGAGATCTACAAGCACGGTGATCCCCAACTCATGGATCATCTGACTGCTCTCTTCCAGGAGATGTGGCGTCAATGAGATGTCCTGCAGGATTTCCAGGACGTCACAATCGTGCACCCCTATAAGTACAAAGGGAACAGCCAAATGTGCGACAACCACGGAGGCGTTTCCCTGCTGAACATCGCTGGGAAAATCTTCGCTCGCATTCTTTTCAACTGCCTGAACAACAATCTGAAACCGGGTGTCCTGCCGAAAAACCAGTGCGGCATTCTTTGTCATCGTAGGACCACGGGAATGATCTTCGCCGCTCTTCCAATGCAAGAGAAGTGTCAGGAAATGCGGACCCACCTCCACTCTAATTTCGTGGGTCTGACGAAAGCCCGAGACACGGTGAATCGCAAAAGACTGCGGAAGATGATGCAGAAACTGGGCTGTCCCGAATGATTCACCCAGATCGTGCGTCAGCCTCACGATGGCATGATGACGCGAGTCACGGACAATTGAGCTGTCTCAGGGGCGTTCGCGCGGACCAACGGAGTGAAGGAGAACTGCGTCCTTTCGTCTACTCTCTTCATTCTCATGTTCTATGCCATGCTGCTGGGCGCCCTCCGTGACAAACGTCCCGGGATCCGCGTCGCCTACAGAATGGACGGTCAACTGCTCAACCACCAGAGGATGCACCTTCAATCGCTTAGCTCCAAACCACCGTCCACGAACGTCTGTTCGCCGATGACTGCGCCCTCAATGCAACTAATGAAGGAGACATGTAAAGGAGCATGAATCTCTCCTCCGTCGTTTGCGACAACTTCGAACTGATCATCAACACGGAGAAGACGGTGGTAATGCACCAACCCCCATCCAACACGGCCCACAGTGCGCCGCAAATCAGCGTGAACGGAACCCAAGAGCAAGTGGTGGACAACTTCACGTATCTGCGCAGCACCAAAATCGGCGATGACGGGGCCCGCCGGATTTACAAAGCCAGTCAGGCCTTCGGACGTCTTCAGAACACAGCTTGAAATCATCAACGTCTTCAACTCATCACGAAACTGCAAATATACAAGGCCGTCATCCTATCGACGTTGCTGTATGGAGCAGACCTGGACGGTGTATATGAAACAGGCACGCAGACTCAACCACTTCCATCTCAATCGTCTTCGTCGAATACTGAAAATGACGTGGCAGAACCGGATCCCAGGCGTGGACGTATTGGAGTGGGTGGGAATCCTCAACATCCACGCTATGCTGAGGCAACTACAACTACGCTGGAACGGCCACCTCGTGCGGATGGACGACGAGAGGCTACCCAAACGACTCCTCTATGAAGATGTCTCAACGGGTTCACGTCGACAAGAAGGTCAAATCCGACGCTACAAGAATACTCTGAAAACGTCTCTGAAGCGCCTGCAAATCAACCCCGCACACTGGGAAGAACAGTGAAGACAGGCGCAGTAATCTTCGAAGCCAACCGCACCACCGCTGCCAAAGCCAACTGCGAGACACGCAAATTCCAACTGCATCCACGTCGCAACGCCAGCGCTCAAGCAGCCTTAACCTGCTCACACTGCCAACGGACGTTCCAGGCACTAATTGGCCTTATAGGACATATTCGTTCAAGCTGTAGCACCCAGACTACACCAACTGCTGCCTCCTCGTCCAGATCTGCCTCATCCTCCATGTCGACAGCTAATACTGACCGTACACCCGAACCCCCACTGCCATCCTCCTCCTCCTCCGCATTGTCTCAACAGCCGCTACGGAGGCTCCTCTCCCATCACCACTGCACACAATCCTGACACACCAACAAACATCAAATCCCCCACCAACAATCCCAGCAATGTGGACTCGATCCATAACTGTCCCCATTGCGACCGTGCCTCCACCTCACACATCAGCCTGGTCGGTCGCTTGCGAATCCATCGCAAAGAAACTGGCGAACCAGTGCCTTGAGCATCAACCTAAACTCGCCTCATTCGTTTCCACTGTACACATCGCCCCCCACACATTCACTCACCGCAAAGGTCTTTTCGGTCACATGCCTATCCACGAGGGCGGAACTCACTGAAGTCTCGACACACTTAGAACCTCCCGCATATCCACCAGGCCTAGCTTACCGCATACCCCGCCGCCCAGCACACTCACCACCATCAGCTCCACCACACTCAGCGCATTCTGCGCACCCACCATGCCTAACCCAACGCACACCCCATCGCCCAGCGCGTCTACCATTATCAGTTCCTCTACTGCCATCATCTCCGAAACCGACACTGACACCGCCGACTTTTCCTGCTCACACTGTTCCCGTACATTCACCTCACGCCCCGGCCTGGTCTCCACCAAGAAACCATCATCGGAAACAGTGAGAATGGACAGTTTTATAGTCAAACAAAGGTGGGTGAAGCGAGAAGTGTTCGCGAAAAGGCCGAGTCCACGCCGTCTCACGGTGTTGTAACAGCGTGCGTCCTTGGCTGGGAATTGGGTCGCACCTCTTGGCCTCAAGAACAAAGGGCCTGATAGCAGGGGGGTATATAAACGTATCCGTTGATGGACTTGATGTCAGACACACAGGTCTCCAGCAGTCCTCGCCATGTTTTATCTATGACTTGTACCATATCCGCATGCTCGCTAAGTTGAATTCGTGGCCGTCCTTCAGGTTGTGATTAGCGACCTGAGACAATGGGTCGCCTCTTCGGATTGCCCGCTTGTGCTTCATTATTCACGAGTTAAGTCGTCGTCTGGCCCATCCTGTATAATGGCGAGGGCAGTCACGACATAGGATCTAATAAACGACAGCAGATTGCTCTCCTGCGCCCTGTCAGTTCTTCAATTGCATGATCTTGGTACGCACGGTGGCTGTCGGACGATGAGGGATACCCGCGCCGAGCTCTGCAGCGATACGTTGCATTGCTTCTGGCACGTTCTGTGCATACGGTAGAGGATGTCAGAATGTCAGTGGCTCTCCTCCGTTCGTCTCCTGTGGGCCCGTACGGAGGCAGCGGCTGGTAAAACTGTTTGGGTATTCATTCCTTGCCAGCTGGTCCCGAAGATGCCGTAATGCTCGTACTCGTCCCTCCGGCTCACTGCAATACTTTTCTACCCTTTGGAAGTTTGCTCGAATTCATCCGTACTTATGGGCCATTGAGTGGTGTGTATGATAGTTGAGACCCTCTCTGCAGTGGGCACTTTATTCTCACAGAAATTCGTTGCATGTTATTCTTAGTACAGATATTACTTAAGTGACCATATATATTGTGTCCGATTTCTGTGGCTGCATGTTTAACTCTGAGGGCTTCAGCTGATCAGCAGGTCGTTCCAGGTTACCTCATTACTCACTAAAATCGACATGCGTCGCTGTAATGATAAACCCACACGACGGTGTCACTGGTTCATGCATTGTGCTGACCGGGCTGCACTGGTTATGTATGAATCCATGGTAAGCGGGGAGGGTTCTGTCAGCCACTTACGCCCAATCTCAGTATCAGGCGGCCGACCGGCTTGGGCAGCAAACTGATACATGCGGGAGGGAGGAGAGAGTCGGGTCAAATCTTGACAATCAAATCCGACGATATTTCAGCACATTTTGCGCTATAAAAATCGGATGCGTTTATTCTAATGTCGTGGCATGAAATGCTGCAAGCTAACAGGGTAAATCGGTGCTCTCAGGATGGAGAGCCAGACTGCAATGGCTGTTTCTGCTAGCGACCCCTAAAGCACTTCCATTTCGGTGGAACTCGAGCCACTCCCTACTTTTCCGCTTAAACCTGATCCGCTTTGCGTGAACTAGGTCGTGTGTGGTACGTGTAGACGGACTGTCTAAATTTGTCAGATACTGCACCGGAACCCGCACCCACACCATTGTATTTACCATACGCAAGTCAATGTTCCGTGTCCAAAATGCTGAGGGACACACAGCGAGCATCCTCGTTTGTGACGATCGAATTGACGTGGAAAGGGATGGATCTTCGGAACTTCATTTACTGCGCCAAATAGCATCAGTTCATTCACATGCGAGGATGGGTTTTGGATGCAGAAGAGATAGGAGGGCGTGAGGCATAATCTGCCCGGATTCAACGCCTAACTTTATTACTATAGACAAACCAAATCCGTTAAGATGGAATAATGAAATACGTTAAATATCGCGTAATATGTCACTGCGTCCTCCTGAGAATTCCGGTGAACCCCATTGCACTTAATGGAAGCACCGTCGCGCTCGCCTGTTTATCACGAATGGCTCCTGTTATGTACTCCACTTGTCGGTGTAAAATTTCAACATGTATCTGGAATTGCTAAAGGAATTTGACGGTCGGTCATTGAAACTGGAATTTTTGTGCTCGATCTGTACTCCCCCAAAAATGTGGGCAAAATGTTTGTTGGTTAAAAGTGATCATCGGCATATTGGGCCTTTAACAAAAAAGCTAGATTAAATCTTAACATTTTCAGCGCAACTTGTTATTAATACTTGTTTGTTGTTTTCTACGAAGAGTGGTATTATTTATACGTTTATTCTCACTGAATTTTAAAGGTTTGTTGATAGTCTGTTAAGCTTGCTAAATTTGGGGTATTGCCATGCTCGCCATCTTTTACTAAAAACGCTCGTCTTAATATAACATGTAACCCTATTCACATTATTGTAGATGCATATGACAAAGAGGCCTACAGTTTTTACCAGCATTGTTAAAAATAAAATTTTGTTTAAATTAAAACATACATTCGTGGAAGGCCACTTTTTACTGGGTTCTGTCATCTGGCTCTGGTGCTGTTAAAAGCAGGCCGTCTACCGGATACGGACACGCTGTACCTCATCCACGTGAATCAATTGATTGAAATTGAATGCGCGCCTAAGGAATTCTTGAATTCCACATTTACCTAAGATTGCGAAATGTGGTTTGCGTAAGGCCAGTGGAGCTTAATTGGACATGCAGCTTTTAAGCACTGCCCAGATTTTCACAAGCAAACTGAAGATGTTTCCCCAGAACGCATAAATCAGGAAAAATCACGTATCCTACAGCGAAACGGTCGGCGTCTGAATCTTGGCTACAGTAAAGGGTACCAAGGCGACGGGATTATTCCACACAGCAATTCTACTACTGTAAAAAGCTGATAGTTGCATTCGACATGTACTTTCTCCTTCTATACAGGTGTAAACGTCAGTTTGAGCTCGACTCAATTGTTTATGGTTTAGGTTGTGTTGCTGTTTAGTATTTATAATCAATTCATTTATAAGGAATGACTGAAATGCAGTTGAAGCCGCTCGTTAAGTCAGTCAGTGCACTAGGTTTCAGCTAATCAATGTGGACTTGTGTGTTTTAAAGAGGCTTCCTTTCTTTGGCAAGCGTTCAGCCACGAAACCGTCCTGATTCACAAGGATGGCCAGCTTGCGAAAATCACAATGTTTAGACGATGACCCAGTTAGCAAACATCACACCTCCGCCCCATTACCGTTGGGGGACAGAGAATCCGGTCATTTTGATTTATTTCTGAAATTCAGCTTGAGTGATTGTTCGGACTGCTGGGCAGACAATTTCTTAAATGTCGAAAGTACCTTACTCTTCGTCTTTCCCTCGCAGTTGCCTGGCCCTCGCGTGTATGCGTTATGCGAAATACATAAAGGGATTTATGACTGCACATGCCCGAATAAAGCACTTATAACAGGACGCCTACGGTTTTCAATCCCAGAGTATTTATGAAAGCACATTAGCTCATCTCCATGAAAAAACGAACTTGCCAATGAACGGCATACAATTCCTTTTCATCTCTTGAGGGGTCCGCTATTTTCGGACCACTTGTCTGGCCGGATCTGTCTTCGGTGCATGTGTTTGTTCACGTGTGATTTCAGGTTAATTTTTGCGGCAGTTAAAGGACCGAACGTTTAAACTGCACGCTTAATCGACCACATTTTCCAGTGCTTGCAGTTCATGACGAACTCGAGATCAGTGCTTAGGCTATAAATAGGAAATCGCATGCAACCAGGGTGAAATACTGCATCGCCGTGCAACATCTGTTAACCCCGTCATGTTAG